TGAGGGCATAAGATGCAGTTATGCCACCTCTGTCAGCTCTACATGCTTATAGAGAAGGAATTTTCTGCTGGAAAACTTCAGCCTGTGTTACATCCGGAGGTGAAAGTAAAGTGATGTGCCCCAGTGCGCTGCTCCAACAAGAGCCAGCTGGGGTGCTTTGCTGAGAGCTGGCTGGCGGGCGGTGTGGCTTTCAGGGTGCTCTCCCAGCTGGGCTACATCTGCAGGCTGGCACTGGCAACCCAGCGCATACAGCCAAATGAGGCAGGCAGGCTAAAGGGGCCAGATGGGGGCGCATGGCAAGGGAGATGTGCATACCTCCAGCCAGGCTACTGGTGCATCCATATCTGTCCTGCTGTCCCCTCAGTGGATGCCAGGCAGCACACATGCTATGAGGAGTCCTGTGGCACCTTATAGCCTAACAGATTTATTGGAGCATAAGCTTTCGTGGGCAAAGACCCACTTTGTCAGATGCATGGCAGTGCACATGTCATCTGTGCTGTGCACTGTTGCCTGCAGTCCCTGGGAAAAAGCCAGGGGAATGATGCAGCAGGCTAGGTGTGTCTCTTGCATTGCTCCTGGTTTCCTTGCTGCAGTGCCTCCACAGAGCTAGCCCACAGCTTCCTTGTGACACCAGCAGAAAACAGGAGCTTTGGGGCAGGGACCCATCCACTAGTCAGGTAAGACAACCTATTCCCAATTATCCACTGCACCCTCCCCATTATCCACTGCACCTCCAGCCCCTTGCTCTGACTCCTGCACCTCCCACATAATCCTAGCCCTGTGCCCTGACTCCTGCAGAACCCTCTACCCTGAGCCCTCCACACTCCACCCCACTCTTAAATTTCTTACAGGAACTGTTGTACCACAACTCCCCCACTCTTAGCCCTGATTTCCCCTCTTCTCCTCCACCCCAAGGGAGAGGGAAGGTTGTGATAAGACATTACCTGTAAGAAATCTAAGTTACTTTCACCCCTTGGCAACTCCCTGCTACATAAATGGGTACGCAGTGCAAAACTGATCCGAGAATCTGACTTTATTATCCTTTTGGCCCCAATCCCAAAAATACTTATGCATGTGATCACTTTTACCCTCATGAAAAATGGTAGGCAATTTATGTGAATTTATCTCCTTTACTCACATTGGTGAGCAGTTACTCACAGGAGAAGTCCCAGTGGAGTCAGTGGAGCTACTCCTGAGTTCAGCTGCTCACAGGTAATAAGTAAGGAGTTCTCAACTGGGGCCAATTCCACATAGTTTAAATAAGAACATTAAAGTACTTTTTTAAAATTTATACTAAGTAGCTCAACTATCTACCTAGACAGTCTCAGGGGGGTAGCTGTATTAGTCTGTAACTTGAAAAACAATGAGTAAAACTAACAAAATAAAGTGCCTGTGGCACTTTAGAGACTAACAAAATTGTATAGTATCATGAGCTTTCGTGGATCTTTCGCAGGGCTACTCATTATCTACCTAGAACATTTCATTACGAATATTGAGACACACGTTATGTTAATAAATCAGCTTTTTACTGAAAATCACATTTCCACTGTTGAATTGCCTTCATCATCTCACTACTAAATCCACAAAGCTACTTAGCTACTGCTTCATAACATGCAGCAAAATGAAGCCCCTCTGTCCCTTACTACCTAGAATCATCAGCTCGGGGGTATGTGCCCAGGTTTCCCTTACAATACATGGAAGGAAAGAAGTGCTTAAGGAAGAGATTTTGGCTACGTCTACACTGCAGAGCTTTCCCAGGATAACAAAGGAATCCCAGAAAAGCTCTGCTGCATCCAAGGAAGATGTCTGCTTTTCGGAAAAAAAGTTCGGAAAAGCAGATGCGTTTTTTTGGCATCTTTGTAAACCTTGTTCTAAGAGGAAGAAGGGATGTTCCGAGAGAGGGGTTTTTTTTCCAACATTTGGCCCTGTGTAGATGGGCCAAATGTTGGAAAAGCCTCTTTTGGAAGAAAAGCAGAAAAAGATACACAAATTGCGGTTCACAATTTGCGTGTCTTTTTCTGACTTTTCCCTGCAGTGTAGACACAGCCTCTGAGAAGCCATGAAGATGAAGTGGGAGTCACTTAACTTCCATAACTCCTCAACCTGGAATGAAATGCAGAGGAAAAAGGAGGGTCTTAAGCCCCTCTTCTTAAAGTCATTTAGGCACCTGAATATCATCAATCTGGGTCTTTCGGCAAGTGAGTGATTTACCAAAGGGAGATGGCTCCCTCCACTCAAGATTCTCAGCCATGAACCCTCTCCTGTGGTACATTGTGTACACCAGCCTGTGTCCTGGGGAATGAAACCCAAACTTTTCTCAAGGTAAAAACAGAGAAAGCGACTGACAGTATAGAATAGGCCCTCACCTTAGAAACAAATAACTTCTGCCTAAGTCCCTGCTCTGCCTGATGTGGAAAAGTGCCTTAG